TCTCAAGGTCGTAAGAGCACTCTTCTGTTGGCCGCCGAGAGGACTAATCGGCCCGATATACTTAATGGGTTTAAGCACTATAAAGGAGGTTGGGATATCACCAATCGACATTACTGGGCTGTAAGTTACTTCTTCTTCCTTTTTTTGTAAGCTTTATAATGCAGTTGTTCAACGAATCCATCTATCCATCTGGGAATTTAAGAAATTGATACTTTTGTACCTCTGGGATGGAGTCTGGGCGATTGAGCTGATAGTTATATTCAATAATTGATCTTTATTAAAACTACTGCAACTGCTGAAGGCTTCTGTCTTTCCTACATATGGGTTGCTGATTAGCTCTTGGTGTAGCTCTTATGCTTTCGTCTGTTTTTTCTTTATATCATTATTATTGGATCACGCTAGAATGATAAAGTGTGATCCCTCTACTCAATTGCAGTCTGTTGGATTCACCGGTGCTTCTGGCTTCATTTTGGCCATCGTGTGGTTCATCTCATTTGGACTGGCTGTTGCAGTACACCATTGTTGTGGATGGAAGGTGAAAATTGCAGACGGAGGGTTGCGTGGTCAGACGATATGTCTCATACTGCTGATAGTGTTCACATGTGCAGCAGCGTAATAATCATCTCAACCTTGAATCTTGTTGTTCTTGACTACAGCAATCTGTGGCTTGATCTTCCAGCCCTGATTTCCCTTTGCTGTCATAATCTTAATTCTCAAACAAGTTACAATGAACTTCATTTTTATCCGGACCCTGATGGGTTACTGAAATTAATAGCACTTATATACTTCTCTACCCTTGCAATTCACTGTTCTGTGTTTGTTTAAAGTTATAATCTTCATCATTTTGTATGTTGCATAGAAGTTATACTATCCTGCTTCTTGCAAAGCCTTTTTCGGTTGAATGGTTATTGTCACATAGCATCAGTTCACAGATGTCATCTACCATAACCTCTTTTTACCTCCCTCTTTTAATATGAATGTTCCACTTTTATTTTCAGGATTGGCTGCATTCTTCTTTCTGTTGGTCAGGGTGAATTTCATGGAGAAGCTTTGGATACTTTGAAATATGTTGTAAACCAATCTGATTACACAGTTCAAACCCTGAGAAACGTCACGGAGTATTTGTCCCTTGCCAAAACCATCAAAGTAGCCCAAGTACTTCTTCCTTCCAATGTAATGGACAACATAGACAAACTGAATGTGGATCTGAATGCTGCAGCAAACACACTGGAAGAGAAGACCAGTGAAAACTCTCAAAAGATCACAACAGTGTTCACTGCGGTGTATGTATCTAAATGCGAGCATCACTTCCTTCTTCCCCCCCCCCCCCCCCCTTCCATTGACACTCATTGCCTATGCTTGTGATGTTTGGTAATTGATGATGAATTTGAAATTGATCTGCAGGCGTTCTACACTAATTGCTGTTGCTGCAGTGATGCTTGTACTGGCTGTGGTTGGTTTTGGTGCGTATCATAAACTCTTCCCATATTGTTGCTGCTTTTGGTTCTCTTGGTTGGTTTTCTCCATTTTTGACAGATGATAATGCTTTGAGATTGACCTTCTCCATTACTGCAGTTCTTTCCGTCCTTGGTCACCAGCATGCGATCTATATGTGAGTTGTTTTCTTATACATTGTTACCCTATTGTAGGCAAAGTGTTAAACTTTTCATCTCCCTCTCTCTTTGCTGTTCGACTTATTTTAAGCAACGAATTCTTTGTTTGCAGATTCGTGCTGAGTGGGTGGTTGTTAGTAGCTATAACGTTCATTCTTTGTGGAGTCTTCATAATTTTCCACAAGTAAGATTCGAGATATCAAGTTATCTCATATTCAGGATTGCATGCCAACTGTGTCGCTGATATGGTTTTGCTCTTTGGTTTATGTATCAGTGCAATGACAGACACTTGTACAGCCATGAACGAATGGGTTCAAAACCCTCAGGCAGCTACAACACTCAGTGATATCCTCCCCTGCGTTGATCAGAGTACTACAAACAAGACCCTCTTCCAAAGCAAAGAAGTCGTTAATGACATTGTGAATGTGGTCAACACGTACATATACACCTTTGCAAATGCAAATCCATCTCGGTCCGAATTCAATTACTACAACCAGTCTGGACCTCTGATGCCTCCCATGTGTTACCCATTTGACTCACAGTTCAACGATCGCCAGTGTGCTGCCCAAGAGGTCTCGATGGCTAACGCCTCCTTGGTATGGCAGAGCTACATATGCCAAGTCTCGTCATTGGGGTACTGCACAAGAGTTGGAAGGGTGACACCTGATGTGTATGGGCAGCTGGTAGCAGCTGTTAATGAAACCTACGCTCTGGAATACTATACTCCGCTCCTGCTCAGCCTTCAGGACTGCAAATTTGTGAGAGACACAGTCCAAGAAATCACCTCGACGTACTGCCATCCTCTGGAGCATTACCTCCAGCTCATAAACGCGGGATTGGGGTTAATCTCTGTTGGAGTTTTGCTCTGCTTGGTTCTCTGGATACTCTATGCAAACCGGCCCCAAAGGGAGCAAGTGTTTGCCAACAAGCTGCGATTACCCATTAAAGGCAACAATTTCAGTTTCTGCAGCAAGAAAGCCAGTCCTCCTAACAACTGCAACGACACTGTTACTAATCATGTGCCATTGTCAGATACAATTGCTAGTATAGTTCATTAGTAAGTCATAGAAATACAGATTAATGATGTAGTATAGTTTTGTTCTAGTCCTTTATTCCAGGAAGAAGGAAGGACGAGCGGAATATACCGAAACAGGGCGAAGTTCTGGTTCGAGTTGTAGTTTCGTGTACTTTAGTCTGTATCAATAGTAAAAAGTCCAAGTGCTATTGTGCTTTATTCCAGGAAGAAGTAGTGAACAGGGTGGGAGTGCAAAATGTCGAGGATCTTGCTTGCATATTCTATGGACGATCTCAGACTTCCTAGCCAGAGAAATAGGAATTCTAGGTCACCTAAGCACTATTTTCAGAGACAACAAATCATTCCCGTTATGTCGACACAACATATCATCCACATTCCCATCAAACAAAGAATATATCTACTTTTTTTTTTTTTTTTATAACCCAGGGAACCTCAGCCCCACGTGCCGCTTGAGCGACAGCGGGGCCTACTAAACCACTGGGGGTACCTGCATACTAACCGGGGCTTTCTGCTACCAACATCGGGGAGGCTTCGCCTCCGATACCAAGGGTGCCGCCGGGAACGCACAAGTGGCTCCACTGGGAATCGAACTCAGGACCTCTCACATCCAGAACTCAATTGGACCAGTGTTTTCACCACTAGGCTATGTTACCTTTGGCAACAAAGAATATATCTACAAGCCCAATAATAATGACATAAATGGCATCCAAAAGTTCAAATAGCTAAAATAGTCAGTACTTAATATATCGTCATTATCCAAAATCATAAATAATAAGTATGCTTGAAATTCATTGGGACAATATCGCCAATAATATGAAGAATAAAATTTTGTTATCTTCAACCGTCATATCCCAAATTTGATCCATAATAATGCTTCTTGTCCCATCTTCCTGAAAATAAAATGAAATCAATAATTAATCTTCTTATTGAAGATATAGTAAACAAAATAATTGGTGATACTCTATAAGTTCAAATAAAAAAAAAAATTAAGCTACCAAGCTTAACATACTAGTGAACAAAAGCAAAATCATATAGCCAAGAAGGTAATGGTGATTTCATTTACGGTCAATCACACATTGTTAACAAAAAAGAAAGGAACAAATGTTAAGTGGGTACTAAACTACTGGTTAATTCCAATTATACGTTTTCCCTGACCCTAGAAAATGACCGAGCCAAAAGAAAGAAAAAATAACCTATGGGATACCAATTACAAGACTGCTAAATATAGAGGCGTTGAAACTCTGTTTTCCAAAAAGCGTAAAAAATAAAATAAAAACAGAGACAACAATGTCAACTGCAATGCTAAATGATGATACCTGTAGCCAAGAGACTTGGCTTTTAGATAAAATCAGCGTATACCCTTACACGATGTTGGATCCTTTTAAAGAAGTCGAAAACATAACTCTTGATCATATCAGAGTCTCGCATCGAAGGTAAACCATTTGTGAATTCCCTGTAATATCATCTTGGGTTACTAAGTATATAGTGACAAACATACCATATAAGAAAACAACTTTTAGTTCAATACTTATTTGCAGATGTTTTGGGCACATATGTGAGTCTTCTTTCTCCAATCACCATAGAATACTGTGGAGCATCTTTCCCAAATCGACGACCAACTTCATCGAATGTACCTATTTCCCCATTTCTATACTTTCATTGTAATCATTATCTTTTGGGGACTTATCAAACTTGGTATTAACAACATCAATATATACTGAACAAAAAGTCAACCACTCATCAATTCTATATGCTTATGCAGTAGAAGCCTTTGTACGAACTTTAATACAAACATACGAATTAAGATTAACAAAAATTTCAATAGGTAGATCCACCTTGTTTGCACTAGTATGGCAATCCTATCATCCATTGACAAGTTAACACACATATATCAATCCATCCATATTGTTAAGTATATCACTAGAGGTAGGATTTTCATTAATTTTTTTCACTAGTGGGTGCCATCATAATATTACTTTCAACTTCTCCATGGAAATACCACGATATGTAATGGTTCAAGATTCCATTTCTTAACATATAAATGAGTCTCATACATGATATTTTTGCATTTTGTATGGATTACAAATCATTTGTACTAGATGATTTCAGGCACTAGAATATAACAAGAATTATAAATATATGAAATTCACGTAGAATAAAAGTACTAAACACTAGATGTACCAAACATAATAAAGAATTATTAACCTGTATTTGGCCAGGGGTTGAAATATAGAGGGATAAGTGTGGAATCCAAGACAAATACCCTTCTTTGAATAGTTTTCAACCGTAGCTGCGGGTGCAAACTAAGTGCAAAAGCACTATTCTGGTTTCCCCCTAGTTTGGGGCGTAAACGTTGTGGCGGAAGAAGGAGATGGGGGTGGTGGGCCATGGAAGAGAGGAAGAGAGTGGTGGACCGCTGGTGGAGAATGAGAGAGAGGGTGTGGTGGAGCCCGGGGGAAAGAGAGAAAGGAAGTGTGAGAAAAGGGTGGGGTAGAGTTGAATTTTTGTTTAATTTTTTATATTTATTATTTAAATTCTATACTTTATACATATTTTGCATCATTTCATATTCCTAGTTTTTGTCTCAAACACCAAGTTACACCTCAACTTACTCCCCAGTACAATCCCCCCCTCAATTTACACCTTCAGTTGCACCTCTTTCGAATTTTGAACCCTTTAATTGCCAAACAGATAAAAAAGTTTAAGAAAGAAAACAAAAGAAGATGAAAAATAAAGCTACCAGTTGACATTAAATTTCACACCAAAACTTCCGGTGAGAGCTAATTTGACCGCAAATTGAAGTTAAATAATATGTGAATTGAGAATTTAGCTTATGTTGATTATTGTTGAGCATGAATTTTTCCTGTAAACATGAAAATTAAGCAAACAAACTATTTACTTTTAGGTAGGGAAAGCACAAAATCCCAACAAATAATTAATTATCGGAATAGACGCATAGAAGTGTAATCCAATAATAGGAAATTAATTTTCAGTGCAGGAAAGGAATAACTCGTACCTAGAAATTTAGTTTCCGCTTAGTTGCAACGGACTCACTCCCATTACGGCAAACTTCTATTTAAGCATTTAATTCCGTGTACAATTCTTTTGGGGAGAACTTAAGCATATTTCAAACTAATTATGTATTAGGAAAGGTTTAATAATGAATCTTATACATCTTACTAACACCCCCTAAAAAAAAATATGAAAACTAGTCAACTCATTAGAGCTTTCGTTTGCACATGTCCTGAATACGAGAATACATGTGCTTCACAAATGGGGTCTCTGAAATTCGAACACAAGACCTATCTGTCACATAAGGCTCTGATACCATGTTAAGAATCATTTGATCTCAATAACTCGAGTTGTTGGGAGAGGTTTAATAATAGATCTTATACCACTCACTAGCACTTTTTACACTAATTAGGTAGTCAATTAAATAATTAAGTTAATTATCATTGTCTAAAAGTTAAATAGTTAAAGTTAATTATCATTGTCTAAATAAGGTTTACACCTACTGTAAACTCACTTTCCTCTCATTCCCCAAACAAACATAATTAAATAATGACAGCCATATTAACTTAATTTGTCCGCTCCAAGTCCAATCTTACTATAGTGCACAAAGCACATTTTATGTGCACTAGTTTCTTACCCGTCTGTTGGCCGGAGAGTTTCATTATCATTTATACCAATTGATTTATTTATATATTAAAAATCTTTTGAATCACCTACATTTTTATACTCTCACTTTATAAGCGAGTATGTGATATGCATATATTAAAAATTCTCAATACTTAGCATACTCACCTATGATTCTATTTTTTTCTAACAAAAAATTATATCTTAAAGATTTATCACATCCCATTTAGGATAGCATATTAAGGTTTGTCAAACCAAGACACTCAAATTTATTATATTAAACTACATATAACAATTCGTGATTCTCGAGTCAGGACAAACTCTAAACCAATTATTGAGAGTTCAATTTATTAGATAAAGATGCTTAATTAATGGATAATTTTTGTTATTCCAAGTGAAACTTAACACATATTGTACCCCTTACGATGATCATATTATCTAATCATGACTCATTTTCATGCCAATGTTCATGAAGTCTTAGTTGAGGATTTTATGTCAAATTTGTCTATCAAGACACTCAAATTTAGTATATTATACAATATGTATCAATCACTAATTCTTGAAGTAGTTGTTGTCTATATGTTGGTTCAGAATCTCAACCCAAGACACTCACCACACTATCAAGGGTTCTTGTCTTAACATGGTCATTTAGTGAATAAATTTCTAACTTTTTTAATGTGCATTTGTAAAAAAAAATTATCTTTGGTGTTTGGTTCATGAAACCGTACTAAACATCGTACTGGAAAAGTCAGTCGTAAGGTCTTTTATGGCAAAATTGTGGCTTAACCACAATTCAACAGTTAGTACCGTAAAATACAGTGTACCGGTTTACCAAAAACCGATGCATGGGAATAACCTTCTCGAAAACAGCAATTCCGTCGGTACGGTACGGTTTCATTAACCATTTATGAAACAAATTTTTTTATTACTCATCTTAATAACTGATAAAGTGTGTCTACAACGCACACAAATTTTAGGTGCATTTAAAACGGTGTATCGTTTGAACAATTAATTTATAATTTTTTTAAAAGTTGATTTTTATTACTTTTTTACAAATTTATACAACCATTATGACATTTCGCATACATATGGATTCATGGATGTATTTTAGACACATCTATTGTTAATATCTAAGCATATGTAAGGAGTTTAATTTACTTTTTAATCATAGTTAATACCTTCGACTTTGCTCGATGAGTGGAATATGAAAGAAAAAAATAATTGTGGCTAGGATAACTCTATCTAAATACAAATTGCTTCATGTTACAAAGTAAAATATTTATGTTTTGACACTTTGATATCATAACATTTTTGTTATTGCCAAAATTTGGTATTCAGTCACAGGCTCACAACCATACTACCAAATGACTTCTTACAATTGCCTTGTTGAACTCATCATTATTAAAGATTTATATTTTTCAACCCAATAACTCGGATTAGACATTCAAATACATTCAACTATTAAACATAAATTGTCAGCCTTTATTTGATCAATGCTTAGGTCAGTGGTTGATGATACGTGATGTTTACCATACATCGTCTATAAATACTTCTTTTTGAAAGGTTTTCATTTAGAATGCAAATGGGCCAAGCCCAGAGGAAAAGTACACAAACAAACATTAAGCACTAGAGGGACCAAAAGCCCAAAGACCCAAACACAAACTGGAAACCCAATAGGGCCCAGCCAAAAGCCCAACCCGAGCCCAGATCACAAACCCTAGCAGCCTATTATTTGCCCTTGGTCATCACGCGCCGCTGGCAGCCGCTGGAAAACCTTCCTCCCACCACAAGAAGGTCGGCCGTAGCAAACCACCCCGGAAAAAGGTCGACGGGAGAATCAAACCCTCCTCCAACCAAATCCTCGCCGGGCCAAACACCAAAGCTCCCCGATGTCAAAACGAGCGAGAAACTTCCGATGGAGAGGACGGCCGGTGACGAAATCATCGAGGTGAACTTCAGTCTTCAGGATCTTCCCCCAGAGTCCAAGCTGAGCGCCACATCTCCGAAACACCAGGATATGCAAGGTGAAACAAGGAGGTAGACGAAGGGAGAGAAGAGGAGAAGACAAGCCGAAATCAAAGAAGATTCGGCCTCCTTTGCATCTAAGATCGAAACATCTCTAGATCTGATAGATCAGATCAGAGGGCAAAAGCACATCCCCAACAGGAGGAGGAAAGAGACCCACACAGGGAGAAGATGAAAGCCACTCCATGGCTAGAAACATGCAGCGAAAAGGAGAGAGGGAAAAAAGAGAAAAAGACATGACGAAACGAAGGGAAAAGGGGGACGATGGATTGACAGGGAAAAGAAACAAAGAAAGGGAAGAAAGATGAGGTTGCCGCCGGTCACCAGAGGGTCCTGCTGTATTTTTATTTTTTAGTTTGGGATCCTCCTCTAGGTGAAGTAGATTATTACGGCCAAAGTATTTCATATAAGCATTGTGAGGCAGGTTGTTCTCAATCTCAAGATCAAGGGCCACTACCGTCTGCATAAACAAAGACATTGATAATTAAGGAGTGACATATAATTGAAATGACTTGATTAATCTTAAAAAAATGATAGACATAAATAAGATAATAAAGTGAGTGAGTGATAATTAAAGAAGCATAGAAAGAGTGAAAACAACAATCGTAATTCTCTATCGCAGTCCGAATTTGACTGATTGAATCTTCCGAGAAAAAAATTGAGAGACATAGAAAAGAAAGTAAAGTGAGTGAGTGACAATTAAAGAAGCATAGTAAGAGACAAAACAATTATAAAAACTCTTTATCGGCGTCTCTAATTGGTCAGAATGACTTGATGAATCTTCCAATAAACCAGTGATGGATGAAAAAAGAAAGGAAAGTAGGTAAAAGACAAATAAAACCAGAAAGAAAGATATACGAGGGGTTAATCATTGTCATCCACTATGAATATCCTGATAATAATAATAATCCAAAAAAATATAAACAACTTGTCTTTGTGAGATAACATGATCGATACCCAAAAATTTGAAATATTCTATTATAAAAAGATGGGTTTGGGGTTACTATTCACTAATCCCTGTTTTTTAGGGAGGAAAAGAGGGTGAAGGAAAGATTAAGGAGGGAAATTAGATTCTCAATACATTTTACGCGGTTTCCGAAAGAAGAGGGGAAATTAAAAGAAAAGAAAATTTACTATATAACCTAACCCTCCAAAAGCGAGAGAAAACCCACTCACCTTCTTTCTATTCGGCCATCTCTTTCCTCTCTCCTTTTTTTTTTCTTTCTCTTTCTCCTTGTTCGTGCCTCCCAAAGAACAGATCAAATTTTTCTTATCTGCATCTTTGCTCAAGCTCTCATTCATCTCTCCCCTGTAGATAAACAAAAAAAAAAAAAAACATGGGGTGACAACTAAAGTTGTATGTCTTCTTCTTCTCCCCCTAATCGATATGTTCTTCATCCCCCTCTCTGAAAATCACCATCAACCCCCAACAAAATCTCTGCCTAAACTTCACCTTAAATCTAATGACATTCTTCTAAGAGAGACATATGACACATTTTTATTGGTCTCTTTTTCTTTTCTTTTTTTACAATTTTTAATTGATTCTCTCCCTCCATTCCTTTTATATTATTGTTTTTTTTTTGCTAAAATTGATTAACTTTCGTATTTATTTTTGTATTCTTAACCTCTAGAAACCGATAAAATCGCTCGAGACTGACTTTCGTACTTGGTTATACATTCTTACTCATCTCTCACTCTCAATCGAAAAGTCAAAAGAGGCATCGGAACCAATGAAATAGCTCAAGACCAACATTCGTATTTGGGTATGCATTTTTACTCATTTGTCACTCGATGTTGATTAGAAAGTTAACGAAGAAATCTCACTCTCAATCGAAAAGTTGAAAGAGGCAACGAAACCAATGAAATAGCTCGAGACAAACTTTCGTATTTTGTTACGCATTTTTTACTCATCTCTCTTGCTCGAGGCCGAATAGAAGGTTAACGATGAAATATCACACAATCAAAAAGCACGAAGTGGCATTGGAATTAATGAAATCGCTCGAGGCCGAATTTCATATTTGGTTATACATTTGCACTAATCTCTCTCGCTCAAGATCGAAACTGCATTCTTCTAAGAGAGACATATGACACCTTTTTATTGGTCTCTTTTTCTTTTATTTTGTTTTTATCATTTTTAATTGATTCTCTCCCTCTTTAATCCCTCCATAAATTCCTTATATATTGTTTTTTGTGCTAAAATCAATTAACTTTCCTATTTATTTTTGTATTCTTAACCTCTCGAAACGACGAAACCGATAAAATCGCTTGATACTAACTTTTGTACTTGGTTATACATTTTAATCACCTCTCTCACTCTCAATCGAAAAGTCAAAAGAGGAATTAGAACCAATGAAATAGCTCAAGACCAACATTCGTATTTGGGTGTGCATTTTATCTCATCTCTCACCCGATGTTGATTAGAATGTTAACGATGAAATCTCACTCTCCATCGAAAGGTCGAAAGAGGCATTAGAACCAATGAAATAGCTCGAGACCCACTTTCATATTTTGTTATGCATTTTTTACTCATCTCTCTCGTTTGGGGTCTAATAGAAGGTTACGATGAAATATCACACAATCGAAAAGTGTGAAGTGGCATTGGAATCAATGAAATCGCTCGAGGCCGAATTTCATATTTGGTTATACATTTGTACTCATCTCTCTCGCTCGAGATTGAAACCGAATTTTGTATTTGGTTATACATTTATACTCATCCCTTCTTGATCGGGGTCGAATAGAAAGTTAACATTGAAATCTCGCACTGCCCATAAAAAAACATAAGTGGCATTGGAATCAATGAAACCAGATACTAGGTTCTTCTTTCTTTTCTTTCGCATTTGTTTTTTTCTTTCTTCATATCCTCTATTTCTCTTCTATTTACCGTCTTAGTTGAAAATTCAGAGTAAATTCTAACTTTATCCTTTTGTTTATTGAATTTAATAGACGCATAATCAATTATCTTTTTTGTTTGACTTAACAAGAGAACCACAGTAATAAGTCTCAACAATTATATATAAAAAATAAGTCTCAACAATTCAAATCAAATTCTATAAAAAAGATTTCCAAGTTTGCTTTTATGTTTGTTGTTACCCAATTTGTATCTATTCATTGGCCAGCGAGTCCATTTTTTATTGTTTACTTCAATTTACTGCGAATGCGTTTCCTCAATTCTTGTTCAGCTGCTTAGATGTTCGCATTCGTGGAATTTCTTACCATTATTGATTTTATTACCGACTACTTTTTTCATTAGATGGAAGTTAGGCCTGCAATTTTTTTAGTTTGTGTTCCTTACATATTAGTTTATTCTCCTTTACAATCACATGTAACCTTTCACATTGCTCGCTTGACGCGAAGCGCAGCGAACAGGAAAAAAATTGAGCAAATTGACATAATAAATCATATTGCACACAGAGAATGAGGAAAAGGAACTCCAAATACCCCCAATCAATCGAACCCATGCCATGCATGTATATGATGAGCTATAAGAAAGTTGTTATTTTTGCATGGACTCATCATTTATATTCTCTCGTACTTGAATAAAGGCAAAGGCTTAGGCCAGCCACTACCCTTTCATTCCATCTCATCATTCAGTTCACAAATTGCACTTCATTATATATTTATATGCAACTTTTCTATAAAAAGGAGGCAACAAAATATTAGAAGTAAAACAAGATGGTAGGGGGACTTTTCTTTTTTGTTATCTATCTATCTATCTATCTATCTATATGGGGAGTTCTACGGTACCCAGGGTGAAATCCGGAGTACCGCATACCTTGAGTAAGAAAATGCTATACAGAACTTGAATTGACTGATGTTTCGGACATGATACTGTACTCTTACCCTTAAAGATCAAAATCTAGGTCTTATTTCTCTAAATCTTATACCCCAAGATCAATTTAATTAGAAACAATAATCGACGGTTATGATTCGTCCAAATATAGATAAAAAAAATCAATGCACCATCTTAGGGTTTATAGTTTATGATTTAGATAATTAGGACTTAGGGTTCACTCATTAAGGGTTAGGGTATAGTATCATGCCCAAAAATCCTGCTAATTCGAGGTCTAGATAGTGTTTTCATACTCAAGGTATGTGGTACCTTGGATTTCACCCGGGGTACCATAGAAGGCACCCTATATATATATATATATATATATATATATATATATATATGGTTATGTCTTCGGTGCACTCACTTTTTTGGGTGCATTGAATGCACCCGCCTCATAATCGTCATTCTGAGCAGGCGATTCATGTGAAAACGATGGCAATCATCCCTTGTGGTATGATGAACAAGAACCACGTGAATTTGTACAAAATTCATTCAAGATTCTCTTTAATTTGAATGATTCAGGGTTTAGGAAATTAGAGTTAGGGTTTACAATTTGGGATTTTGGGTTTAGATTCAAAATTGAATGTTAATAGGTTAGGGTAATGAGTTGATTAGTTGTGATTCTGTGTTATATCATCATATGAGATTAATGCTACCCATTAAATTTCAAAATTTAATTTATTATGACCACTTTTAGAGGTGGGTGCACTGAATACACCCAAAAAAGTGATACCACTTGATCATATGATCGATCGAAACATTTCACAATACAAATGATAACTAAGGGAGGTTTCACACAAGATATGATAAATGGTTTCATCAATAATTTGACCGCTGAGATTCTGTGAAAAATAATTATAGCAAGCGGCAAGTGATTATCACAATCCGCACGAGTGAATTTTTTCCACTTCTTCTTCTTCCTTGGATTCCCTTATCCATGCTAGGGGTAAGTAGAGAGTAGAGACAAGCTGACACCCTCCCACCACTTCTTCAGCTTCTCCTTCCACCATGAGAGACACAAACAATTATGAGGTTAATAAAGTAAACCAATACTTAAACTTTGATTTTGCTAGGAATATAATAAGCGTCACAACAGGTTGATACTGTTCAACAGTTTGAGCCGCTTTATACATCTAACAAGTGCAATTACCGATCAATGTAATTCGAATATGTCAACTATTAATCCGTGCGATACCTTACTTGATCGGCGTATTAGGGTGATTGATGTAATCCGCATCTCTATTCTCTATCATGACATAGATTAGCAAAAGCTGTTTTGTTTACATGCTGATGGATAAAAGGAAGAAGAAAAGTTTAACAAAGAAAGCTGATGGAATTCAGTTTCTTTTCCATCTTAGTAGCTGTAGCTCCATTTTGAGCCCATTACAGACATTTGTTCTGCTCTCTCTGGCCATATTGTTTCCTTAGCACTTTGGATGATGATGATGATCCTTCCATTCCACCATTTCAGGTGGCCCTCTCGCACTATCACTCATCAGGAATTTCTCAGCCTTGCTTTCTCTCTTTCTACTTTTTATCACTTTCTGCCATGAAAAGCAAATCTATAGTACTCATGGCTGGCTAACTGGAAAGTGGAAGTAAAAGAGAAGAGTATCAACGCGGTTTTGGTGGATAGAGAGATTCGACATTCTTCTAATGTCAAGGGCTAGAACAGGGTTGGATGATCATGATTGTATAGAAACTCAATATTTGTGAAATCATATGATCGAGAGATTAATTGATAAGGACAAGAACAAGAGTTTAAAAGTATGGTGTAAGTTTATGAAACAACTTCAATATGGATTGATAGAAAATTGATCTTATAGCTTCGCGTACATGAATATCTTCGATATCGCTAATCGGTATGACATGGTTTTGCGAGAAAAATAGTATGGCTAGCTAGCTAGATTACTTCTTAGTAGAATTTTTCCCCGTTGTTATAGGTTTTTACCCGTGATAAATGAATATGATGTGTTAGATGATAGGTATCGTTCATTCGTTCTGAGCGTAAAAGCCGACTTCCTCCGATTGTGTATACCTTGATAATAAACTAGTAAAGTTGACTTTCTTCAATTGTGACACCTTGATAATAAAAGAGTAAAACTTACTTCCTCCGATAGCGAATGTTAACAGACGAGTAAAACCTACATGTTGATCAAGTTCTATAGAAATAAACCAAAATATTTAGGAGATAAATACCCATCTATAACACAATATTGGCATCTAAGAACGATTACCTTCAACGGTGAATGCTTAATTACTTGGAGGGGTTAGTTTGAGGGATTGCCATGTGATGAACACAGAAACCAAGTAGATGAAATGAAGATGAAGATGAAGAAAGAACTCATAAATAAACACAGCGGGTTTACATATGCATAGAGATCAGAGAGACACAGAATCTGATCAAACAACAGTAAAATAAAAATTCACGCCAACACCATTAATGAACCTCACAAGCTTCAAACGCATCTCTATTCAAAACTATCTCTTCCCCTGTCTCTCTGAGTCAGCCAAACTACTAAGCACCACTAAATTAACTAACAAAACAAGTTAAACTAATAATACCCAGATGAGGGTAAAATCTAAAGAGAGTAGTGACCATTTCCTAAGGCCACTCTGTT